CATTTTCATCAAATATATTGTATTATTTTGTTAATGCTCACAATCTTTGACTAAATTCCATCCTTTATCCCAAAGTCACCCTCCTCAAACACACACTCATGTTTTTTAGTGCAGGGAAACTGGAATAAACCTATGCAGGCACGGAGAACATGCAAATCCATACAGAACCCCTTCAGGAGGTGGAATCAAAGCTCGGACATTCTTTATTGTGAAGAACAAGTGCTAACTGCTGTACCACCATTTTGCCGCATTGTAAGCCATCCAGTTTTCCCAACCATCATACTTTTTTAGCCAATTCCAACCAATTAAAGAGCGTATATAAGTTAGTGGACTGACCCAGAGCTGATGACACATATAGTGTTTTACGCGAAAGTGGAAGAAGCCGGTTGGAACAGAAGCTATCGCTAAGCCAGATCTTTATTTGGGCATTTGTATCTTGACAGGGTTATTATGCGCCGTATCAGGGGCAGACCTGTGCTAAGAGGTTGCTAAGCAAGCTGCAGTCTGTCAAAATTCTAAACCCCAGGATCAGGGAAGGCTAAACCCCATACAAACGTGTTCCTGAGCTCGAGAGGTATTGCTTTTACATGTAAGTAGATGGGATGATGAAGGAGAGGTGCGTAAACTCCGTCCATTTAGCACTTCCCTGTTAGTCTATAGGGGGTTTAGCTTCGTCTATCTGTGTACAGTCCTGCTCACAACGCAACAGACGTGGATGTGCGACGTATGTGGGCGGATACCTTATTTTGTTGTCAGATGATTGACAACTGAAGCACTTGCTGTAGGACTCCTGGCTACACATGAATAGAAACCGGTGCATTTGGCGGTGGAGGCACCCCCTGGTGTGCGAATTTTGACTGCAGCCTGGCCAGTGAAAGTTGTCGTTGTTCACAGTCCCACCTAAGCTTCACGTCTATGTCAAAAAGCATCACTGCCACTGCACCGAAATCACACACGACTCATTTGTGGAATCAGTGATGTTGACGAGCTCACAGAGTGGAGGGCGATGCAGGGCATCAGGCGGAAGAAAATATGTAAGAATATAGAATCCAAGGAGAATCAGATTTTGAACAATTTCTAAAACATGGTAATATAGTCTAATCCACTGCAATTGTCCGCCAGCATTCTTGTCAAGTAAGACAGGTGACAAAAAGTAAGAGATTTAGTTACTTACAGTTATTCATATACTAAAATATACAGTAGATACTAGTTATGAAACTCAAGTGAATACGTGCTCGAGTACAATAATTACAAATGAAAGATTGAATTTATTTATGTAATTTGGGCATTACGTTTGAAACACTTATACAGCCACAATAAGACTGTTGGAAGAAATTCAATGGAAGCAGACTAACCATTTCAACCCTGCTTTTTGTTGAGTTACCATCTGCAAAGTAACTAGACATTTTAGAATGGTTTCTGTGCCGACTTATACTGGGATTTATCAAAACGAGTCAAGAGTAGAAGTGCAGACAATTTGGGTTTAAATAGAAAGGGAGAAATTGTTAAAGTTGTCAGTAAAAATAAAAATTTAAAGTAGAGTTGAAGTGGTCAAGTCATTCAATGATCAAGCAAACAGAACATCCACATAATCTTGTTTAAATATGCTTCATCACCAGTTTTTTAGGCTCTGGGGGATTCATATTAATGTAATAATTAACAATAATCTCCCTAAACTAAGCTCCTTTACATACACATACATGTTACAAATGTCCAGAGGCACATGTTTAATTTTACATGCTTTTAACTTGCTTTTACATAATTAATGCCTGTAGTGTGGGTTTTTAAAGTTGTGTTTTAATTTTTAAGAAATTGCATGAGCTTTCAATAAAGGCAGCGTGGCCCAGACAGACAGGGCACCTGGGCAAGGGCAGCCACTAAAGGAGGGAAAAGGCTTTTTTCTAACCCATCTACAACTCGCGGGTTAAAACATTAATCTAAGCTAAATAAATTATGTCCCTCACCAAAAGGAAAGAAAGTGTAGAAAGTTACGCTGTTGTAATAGGTGAGTATAACTTCATTTGGCTGGAAACTTGGGATAAAGAAGGCCCTATTAGTAATGTAAATTAAGAGTGAATAGATGGAGTTATTTGAGCTGATGCTACCATTTTGTTCGGCGACACACTTATCATTCATCACCGTTGTGGAATGATTGAGAACAATATATAACTCTGAACATTGAAAAGCGTTAGAGTGACCTTGTGTCTGTAAAATGTGCTATATAAATAAACAATACTTACTTACATACTTACTAACAATATTTCGCTATATCATAGAAAAACAATAATTTGTCTCATTGTTTGCGAACCATAAAGAAAAGTCAAAAAGTATTCGAAAGCAAGTCACTATTCAGCAATTAGTAAACTTAAAAAAGCTGTAGATGCAGGAAAACGAGGAAATAGATGACAATCAGCTCCCAAAGAAATCACAAGGACAGAGGTGAGACACATCCAAACGTGGGGCAGAAAACAATGACAGGAAGCACATCTTGATACCAAAAAGACTAGAACACACAAGACATGACTTCCTGTTGCGAACAAGGGAAAAGTACAAGGTAAAAAGTTGCGTGTTAAAATAGAGACAGTTTCTGCCTGAGATCGTCTGATAATCCTCAGACCTGGAATGAGGTTAAAAACGCAAACTAAACTGTACAGTATTCTGTTAGTTTGGAGTACTCAAGTGTGAGATCGTCAATATTATTATCCTCCTAGAAAACAGCGCAAAAACACTGCTACATTACCCTACAAGAAGGAAATAGTAAACAAGATCAAAAACGACTTGAATTAACACCCAGCAACAGTGATGCATTTAAAGATACAAACATGTGTGTATAATGTAACAAAGTAAAATAAAAAACATAAAATCATTGCCACATTTATACAGTATATAGATAACAATATAACGCAGTAGAAAGTTAAGAATGTGAGTTATTGTAAATTACATTACCTTGTTACCAGCTGTCTGAAGCAGCGGTGGGTCCATTGGTCCCACTATCATTTTCTGATACATACTTTAAAATCCCCATAGTCTGTGATCTTCCGCTCTTTTACTATTTAAACCTATAATTAGCCTGTCCATTGGACTCTGCCCTAAACCTGAGTAGTCATGTCCCCTTCTCGCACGTCGGCAAATTTAGTCCCATTACATTTCCACAGAGCTGTTATAAGCCGTTTCAGAAACACCCTGACATAGTACGAAGCTCCCCCGCTCTTCCATACACCTGTGTTTGACAAGTGTCTGCAGCTGAAACAGACAAACCAACTATTAAATAAAAAAAAACAACAAAATCAACTAAAGGTTAACTGTGTGACATTTTAGGACTGCTCTGCTCTTAGATTTAACCACAAATCAGATGTTGGGTGAATTAAACCTTTATAGTTTGGAGATTTGATTCCACTGAGATCTATAACAGTAATGAAACTATTAGTCATTGTCATCGGCCTATGATCGAGGTTCAAAAAGGCCTATA